GAAACGCCGTTGTCAAGGCATGCCAAACGATTTCAACAAATTCCATGGGTTCATTGCTTGGATTGAGGTTCTCGGGAGAATCGTGTGCCTTGGCACCTTTCAGGTTCGCTGGAGTGGATGCGAGTCGATCCTTAAACTTGGACTGAGCTTTGGCTATTGTTGGCTCTCCTTTGAATCGCTCAAATTCCTCCACAATGTGAGGATTGGGACATCTTGCATTATTCCCTACTGCATCGTACACAACATCAATATTCCACTTGTATAGGATCTTTTCCTTTTTGTGTGGATACAGATTGTCCGACAGACTTGCGTCCGGCAGACTTGCGTCGAATCTCGACATCACGATCAAAGTCCGATCGCACGTGTCGAAAACCTCGTACTTAAATAGTTTCTTTTGGAACGTAAAAACTCATATTTTGTCATATCCCAACATTTGTAAAGTGCCAGAGATTTTTGCTTTGCTCTGTCGTTCTGTCTTGCAGCGTAGGCGTTCCTGAGTTCCTGTTCAGTGATGTCATTAATTTGGGTGAACAGATCTTTTCCACCATACGTAGTGATCCCACCTGAATTAGCAACCGCGTCCCAAAAACATTGTGCAGCTCGTTGTTGGAGAGCATTAAGGAAATTTGGGTAGGTTGCGTTGGACCCATCATATTTGTGCAAAAGGGCGGCAGAAGCTTCTTGAAAGGCCGCCAACCCATTGCGTTGGGCCAAGTTGTAGGCAGAACCAGTTTGATGTAGGTCCACGATGATGACGGGTTGCTGCGCCGGTTGCTGCATTTGTGTCATGAAGTTGGTTAATTGGTTGACTAACATGGTGTTTTGGGCAATCAGTTGGGCGATCATTTGTTGTTGTTGTTGTGGATCGGCCGCGGCAGCTGGTTGGTTGGCTGCGGCAGCAGCAGGTTGGTTCGCAGCAGCAGGTTGATTTGCTGCAGCAGGTTGGTTGCCTCCGGTGTTGCCTTGATTGGCGCCGTCTGGGACAGCATTGGCTTGGGTGGGATCGTTGCCTTGATCCATGTTGTTTTGGAGTTGGGCACGAAGTTCTTCTTCAGTAAGAGGAACAAATCCAGCAAGACGACGAGAGAATCGCTCTCGACGGGTAGCAGGTTGACAGCAAGGAATGTTGCGCAGAGGAGTCGGAGATTATCCTGCGTTGGGCTCGAAACATGAGAGAATTGTTGACAATCGAGTATTTACAAGATTATGAGACTATTTGAAGTTTGTTTGAAAATCGCTGGAAAGCGTGCAATCCCGTCAATTCAATTTTTAAAATGAGAGAACAACGGTCATGCTGGTTGAATCGAATCAATCGCAATAACCCATTATTCTCTCATGTACAACAAGGGGGTTTTGGCCGATAGGCTCTTGTTCGATTGATCTGATTGGTCCAAATGCGTCTTTCTTTTGCACATGCCATGCCGCATGCTCTAATAGATTAGCCATCGTTTACTCCAACGTAGACCGCAGGCACACTGTTCGATTTCTTTGACTACATTGTGTTACAGACGGACAAAGGCCGAACGGCCTTCGACCGTCAAAAGTTGTTGTCGATGCGCCCAGGCAATGATGCCCAGTTT